GCGGGGGCGGGGCCAACCCGGGGAGGGGCGGGGCGAGCGCCAGCCTGTGCCCGGCAGATACAGCCGTGCAGGGAGGGGTTAGCGGGAGGGCGTGGTGCGCGAGCCAGCCGACGCTAGTCTGGCGTGCGGCGCGCGGCCCAGGCAGCACCAATCTAGCGCCGAGAGCGCCGGGCCTGGCCCCGGTTGCCGCCGGTCGCGGCGGGGGGGCAGCCCGGGCAGGCCAGGGCAGTCCCCTTCTGTTGTGCAGCCCGTGCGGTGCACCTGCCCTTTACGGCCCCTTTGGCAGGCTGCCAGCCAGCCCTCCCCGCGGGGTGGCCGCTTCGTCTCACACCCCACGGCCCCAGCAGCGGGGGTTGCTGGCACGGGGTCGGCCCCGGTCACCCCGCCCCGGGGAGCCAGGCGGCCCGCCGGGCAGCCGGCCCTGCTGCCTGACCCAACGGCAAGCTGACCCCCAACCGGCTCCCCGGGGAGATGGGCAGCTCAGCCAGGGCGCCGGACGAAGGTCGGCCTTCTCAAGGCCAAGTGCAGGGTTCCGCGCAGGGGTCACGGCGATCCCAGGCACCGATCCCAGGCTGGAGAGCAGCCCTGAGGAGAAGGACTTATGGGCTCGCCGGTCGCGGCGGGGGGGCAGCCCGGGCAGGCCAGGGCAGTCCCCTTCTGTTGTGCAGCCCGTGCGGTGCACCTGCCCTTTACGGCCCCTTTGGCAGGCTGCCAGCCAGCCCTCCCCGCGGGGTGGCCGCTTCGTCTCACACCCCACGGCCCCAGCAGCGGGGGTTGCTGGCACGGGGTCGGCCCCGGTCACCCCGCCCCGGGGAGCCAGGCGGCCCGCCGGGCAGCCGGCCCTGCTGCCTGACCCAACGGCAAGCTGACCCCCAACCGGCTCCCCGGGGAGATGGGCAGCTCAGCCAGGGCGCCGGACGAAGGTCGGCCTTCTCAAGGCCAAGTGCAGGGTTCCGCGCAGGGGTCACGGCGATCCCAGGCACCGATCCCAGGCTGGAGAGCAGCCCTGAGGAGAAGGACTTATGGGCTCTGGTGGATGAGAAGCTCCACATGAGCCGGCAACGTGAGCTCACCGCCCAGAAAACCAACCGCACCCCGGGCTGCATCAAAAGAAGTGTCACCAGCAGGTGGAGGGAGGTGATTCTGCCCCTCTGCTCTGCTCTGGTGAGACCCCACCTGGAGTACTGTGTCCAGCTTTGGAGTCCTCAGCACAGGAAGGACATGGACCTGTTGGAAGGGGTCCAAGCAGAGGGCCACGAAGATGATCAGAGGGGTGGAACACCTCTCCTATGAGGACAGGCTGAGAGAGTTGGGATTGTTCAGCCTGGAGAAGAGATGGCTCTGGGGAGACCTTATAGTGGCCCTCTAGTATCTGAAGGGGAACTAAAAGAAAGCTGGAGAGGGACTTTTTACAAGGACATGCAGTGATAGGATGAAGGGTAGTGGCTTCACGCTGGAAGAGGTACCAAAAAGCACTCTGAAGCAGAAGGAAGGCAGGGTTTCCCAGCCCAGTGCAAGTGTGGATTTGGGTTGGCCCAAACCAGTTGTTAAAATACGTGGTCAGTTGATTTTCCAGTCACCTACTTGGATTTGAACTCGCAGACAAGTTGCTCTTTGTCCCAAGAATCCAAAGTTGTTTTCATTGTCTGGTTACACTGGTTTAACAGTTCAATTCTTCAGACATCCAGTAATAGGAAAAAATAAATAGCAAGGACAGTAATCACCCTTTTTTTTTTTCTGTTAGCATGAAATACAGAGATACAAAAGGTTTTCCAACAACTTTTGAGTCCCCAGGGCTCAGCAAGGTGTCTTTGCAGTCTTCCCAGGCCTGTTCCCTTCTTTTCCCTGCAAACCCTTCCCCTCTCCTCTGAGATTAAAACTGCTGTTACACAGCCTTTAGATAAAGTACCTTGGTATCATAACAACTATCTTCACTTTGCCTTACTTGAACTATATTATCTGGGAAACTGGCTAGAAACAAATATTTAAACCGTTTTGACTGAATATGAAGGCAAATGCCTACCACTGTAAATAGCAACATCATCACCTGCAGACAATAACCCATTGCCAAGGTTCATGCCCTCTGACTCCAGTGGATATTTGTATTTTCAGATGTTCTTGTTGAGGTTTCAGTACTCTATGCTGATAGCAGACTCTGGATTATTCTCCTTTTGACTGTGTACTAACAAGCAATTATTGAAAGCATTTGTAATTTGCATAGGCATTAATGAACAGCATATCAGGAGATTCCTCTTCAGCATATCATTTTCTTAGATGGACTACTAGCGCAAAACCAGAGGCCTGAAGAAATAGCCTGTCTGTGTGAAAGTCACACTAGTAGCACTTTGATGGGGTGGTGCACCAGCACACGTATCAGTATTTCTATATTGGCACAGCAGTTGCAGTGTGTGCAGCCATAGAGACTGAGAACTCAGGCTCCAGAGATCTCTGGTTATGCAATGGTATAATACAACATATGTGGGTGGGTGTAAGCCTGAACCCAAAACAGCATGGTTACTGAAGATATACTGCATCGCTGGTGCTCATACGGCTGTTCCCTCACGGGTTCAGTCACTATGTGTTGAATATTCTGCTGTAGACACGGCAAAAAGACTTTTTTTTTTTCTCAAACGTATCTGAAATTATCTAAAATACAAGCAAGTAGCTTGACATTTTGTAGCTTCCCGCAGAGGATTCTCACACCCTACACTAAAAACAGTATTGTTTATTCAGAGCATCTCACAGTCTACCCGTGTAGCCTGTTGATTTGTTGCTCTTGTGGATGGAAAGAAGGAGGGGCAGAATTCAGATTTCACTGGCAACATTAACTTTAGTACTTCCTGGCTTATAAGTGCCTACTAGTGGGGTTTGTGTGGGATTTTCTGTATAGAAATGTAGTAGAGGATTATATTCATGTAACAAAATAGTATAAGTTTACAAATTTTTAAAAGCCTGAGTCAAGGAGAAGCTGGAATCAGTAGAAGGGGTTTTATTACCGTGGTATGAAAGTCCTTGTAAACTAGATTGTTAATATAATGGTAGATCCATAATAGCTCAAGAGAAGGTTGTAAATGGGATGATGTCCTTCACTGAAGTTTTCGACAGAGTAAGGAAACAAGTGTGTGTGAGAAAAAAAACTTTTACTGCAGGGAGATATTCTAGGAAATACGCTGGCAGCCCATACCAGAGTTCATGTTGACCATCCAGAGAAAAGCAAGTTTTTGTCATCAAAATAAATACAAAACTGATAGTCACATTTTGTCCTGGTCATGTCAGCACTGAAGGATAACTATACTTAGAAACCACTCAGGAAAGTTTTTACATTTCTTTGTCTGCCAGCTGTTAATTATCAATATCTGTCCATTAACAAAGCACCACCCTTTCATTAAGCTGGCTCTTCCAGCCATGTTTGTTCTGTGTAGTCTTAAATCTGCTGGCCAACACCGTACGCTTTCTTATTTTATCATAAGCAATATAGGATGGCATAGTTTAATTACTCATTTGGGTGAAAAAGTTTGAGGGTACAGGAAGTACTTGTTATCTGTAGAAATCTTGATTTTAAAAAAAACAGGAGATTTCAGTATGATTACAGGAAGATACCAGTTTGTTCTGTCGATTACAATGTGGGCAAGGATGATTTAAAAACTCATTGAAAGTTATCAGAGAGGCTTCCTATTTAGAATAGATGTTTAATGTAATTTCTATAATGTTGTTTTCAGATAGGTCTGATTTTTTTTGTTTTCAGTGGCTCCTTAAATGTAATTTCTTAACTCTGTTCATTTTTATTTTTAATTGGTTGGCTAGCAGGATCAGCAGCCCTTCAAGTGTGTGCCATTGGTACAGATCCAGCTAAAGTCATGAAATAGCTGGCTTAATGAATCATTAATAGAATTCAGAACATTTTATTTCTATGCCACTGGTGCAAATCCAAGTAAGGTCAAGAGACTAGCTGGCTCAGTGGTTCAGTAATAGGAAGCAGACTTCTACCTCCAGCTTATTGATGTGAGTCTGTAAAGGGTCAGGAAACTGTAGGTTTTGAGACATTAAAATACAAATCTTTTCCAATGCAGCCATTGGTTTAAAGCCAGTCTATTATACATTATTACTTTAATAGTCTGTATTCATCTATAAATTTTGAAAAGGATAGTATAAACATTTTCTGTGTAACTGCTGTTACAGCACAATACTCCTCACTCTGAAAGGTACAAGAGGTGATTTCTCCAAACAATCCTTTCCCTTAGGCAAAGCATCTAGGGAAAAGATGGAACGTGCACCACATTTTAGCTATGTAAGGCTAGCAAACCATCTGAATGTCCTAGTGGCTCGTACCGTCGTCCATCATTGCTACACTATCTTTGCCAGAGGCCTCCTGAGAACACTCCCTGGGTTTACACTTCCAGTCAGGAGTAAGAACCCAGCTTCAGTGACTGTCCTAACTACTAGCGGGAGAGAAAGTATGTTTTGCTTAGGGTAAAACTGCATTGCTCCTTGTACTGCACCAACATTTGCAAGGTCAGATCTGTCTGCTAAGCAAATAGCCTTTGTTTGTGAGATTACGCAATGAGAGAAGCTGTTAACTCTTCCGCTTGGTAACAAACTGTATCACGACTTAGCTCATGCCTAATTGCGATGTGGGCATTTGCAGCAATGACAG